TATATATGTGTGTGTGTGTAGGTGTGTGTGTGTATGTCTGTGTATGTGTGTGTGTATGTGTGTGTGTGTGTGTGTGTGTGTGTTTATGTTTGTTTAGTCGTGTAATTGTAGACGTTTTACGACTCCACCGACAAATTGTTGATCTTTAAGGAGGCGGGCTGCTTTGTCCATGTCTGTCATTGGCAATCTCCACTGAGAGGGAATTAACATTCCAGCAAATAGACGTCCCTGCAGAGAGACACAGTTATTCGATAAGATAATCCTCCCCTTACGGGATTCAAACTCACGTCTTCAGCGTACGACTGCGAGAGGAATCAATGCCCCACCACAGCAGAAGTCAGTATTTACGTCTGTGTTGATTTTAATCACAAGTTCTGCTCTTTTTGAAACATACATTGCATTTTTAAAGTGTATTACCATCCTATGAGGCAAGCACAATATTACCATTGGGGAGTATAACTATTATCTTAAGTCATTCTCTCACACTCTTCCCTTCGCCCCCAGCTTTCATCCCTCTCTTTCACCCATTCCTTCCTTCACCACTCTGACTCTTCCTTCACCCCCTCGTTCCTTCACCCCTCTTCCCCACCTCTTTCATTCCTTCACCCGCTTTCTTACTTTACCATTCTCCTTCACCCATCTTCTCGATCCGTCTCCTTTACTACTCTCCTTCTTTGTTCTTCTTCATCCCCTTCTTCCATCCAACCACCTCCTTCCTTCACCCTTTTTCTTTCTCCTGTCTACTTCACCCCTCTCCTTCTATCTTCTCTTTCACCCCCCCCCCTTTTTTATCCACTGCCTCCTTCCTTTCACCTACCTCCACCTCTTCCCTTCACCCTTTTCCTCCACCCTCTCGTTCCTTCACACCTTCCTTCCTTTACTCCTCTTTCTTTCACCCCTTCCTTCCTTTACCCCCGTCCTTTTTCACCCTCCTCCTTCCCTCGTACTTCTCCTTCTTTCTCCCCACTCCTTTACTCCTCCCCTACCCCACCCCTCTCTTTCCTTCATTCTTCCACAACTTTTACCCATCTACTTCGCACCCTCTTCCCCCCATCCCTCTCCTTCACTTTCTTCTTCCTTTGCCCCGCTCCCCGACCCCCCCCCCCTTGAGCCTTTTGTCAATACATGTATGTACTTCAGGAAAAACAGAAAAGACAATTGTGACTACACTACATTCAGATTTGAACTCCAGTCCTCAACAAATTGTGCCAGAGCGACTACAGCTGTAATATGTACGTATTTTGTAATAAATTCTCGTATGAATAACATTATACATAATGTTTTAGAAATAAAATCATAAAATCTCATAGGAGAATTTTCAACTTACAGCCACTCCTTCCTATACTGACACCACCCTCCGCCAGCTCTTCCAATAATGATCATATTATCATCTACATAAGGGCTCCTACGGTGTCAACTTGAAGCAAGTCTAGACCACAAAACCACATGTATGCGGATGTATTTGTCTAATGTAATTTGCGTACTCGCTGAAAATTACAGGTTGGGCAATGATTTGGGGAATTTCGAAACAAGACAATGTACCACCTTCTCAGGTAGTATAGAATGCGAGGGAACGACTGGCATAAAAATAAATGTATAATAAGACAGACTTAACTCTGAATAACAAAGTGAATAATGTGAATGAAACATGTGGCTTACTTGTGTAGGCGGAAGGGATGGTGTACAGCTAATGATATATTATCGTAAAAAAACAGACAATAACCAATAATGACGCAGTAGATAGAGGGGGGGGGGTAGAAAGAGAGAAAGAGAGAGAGTGTG